TTATGCCATGCGTTATGCATAAGTCAGGCTGTCATTGGAGATAAGTTCTGGACTCATTATGAATACGCTATGTATACGCCCAAAATCGAAAGAATACAGAGAAAGTTCAGTGTATGCCAGTGTTTTAGAAGAGTCTGGGATGTCGGGCATATGCTGTTTAAATCTGCAAGGTCTGACAGGGCCCTTACTTTGGTCTCATCTGACTACAGCACCTTCTTCTCCATCTTTGCCATGTCTCCTAAATTGCTTGTGGTACATTGCAAAAAAATGTAATTTAACAGATTCTCTTTAACAATGACTTTCTTACAACTTTTCCATAAAGATTAACAGGGGTGGAAACTCGTACCCACCAATAGCCGAAGGTAATTTCACAAAGTGGTGGGTAGATTTTAACAGTGCACCAGCCCATGTCACGGGTTCTAATTTAAAAAATAAAAAAATATTGCTCAATTTACACAACTGAGTTTTAGGGCCTCAGTGCCCCGGGGTGGATGCGAGTCTTCTCCCATTTTGAGTCAAAGCAGAAAATCTAAACAGTAACTTTATAAAATGCTCTCACATTCAAGCTAGTACATACTTTACTCCATGGATGTCTGCGTGTTCAAGAGGCATATTATGGGCTCAGTTATTCTTCATGTGGAGAATCTATCTGGTTGTTAGGCTAGATGTAGAAATGTTATGGGTCAACCAAATGCACATTGGGTTGATGGATTTGAAAGACATTTTGACCCAGAGCATGAAATCTCATAAAAATATCCCAACTACCCTAAATATAACGGATAATTTATATTTAGGGTAGATAATATAACCCAGCATTTTTTTAAATGTGAATATCAACCCTGCACAGTTTGCTCAAACATACAGTCTCTCAGGGAAATTTCGTTGCATCGTCTTTATAATGAATTGGGAAGGAGAGAAGTGACATATGCCGTAAAGCAATGTGCACATTTGTAGTTTTTTTGCATAGAAGGGTTACAGTCACCCTCCTCAAAGTTGCTTAGAGTCGGTAAAAGTGATACAGACCTAGAGTTGGTTTAAACTCCTTGGGTAAAACTGTAACGTCTTCTCTATGTTGCTGGTAAAATTATCCTTTTGTTTGTTGGAGCTTTGTCCACAGTGCATCAACATCTGTCCTGTCGCTGGACTCTTCTGCCATACAAGAGAATCTCTGTAGCACCTACCCTGCCTCTCACATTTCTGGTGTGTTTGCAGTTGTGCCGTATTCTTCATTATCTGTGATATGTGAAAAGCCTTACATACTGTATATTTTTTCAAAAATTCTATCTAACAAAAGTGTGAAGCCTTCCACTAACACATAGAATCACAATGAACACTAAGGTAAATGGTCCACTAATTGAGGTGATTTTTGAGAGCTACTACGATCAGTAGCAATAACGGTTTTGGAGTAAAAAGAGATAGGTACAAAAGCACTCCACACGTTTCAGATTTTCACTGGCAATATGAAAAAAATAAATGCGTTTAGCTTTCTACCAAACAGTTTTAAACTATTTGAAAATCTTTACTCAACTAAAATTCTCTCCAAAAAAATAAACTTACGTTTTTGGTGAAATTAAAGAATCTGCTAAAGTACAATGTGTAAAAAAACTGCTTGCAAGGCACTGAGATCACCACAAGCTTTGTGTATTCTAATATAGAGATGATTCACCTTGATGCGGCAAACTGTTTCAATCACCACAACCTGAAGAGAAATCTGAGTGGCTCTCAGTTCATTATCAACCACTTTCTGTTTTAGGGAGCTTTGTGACAGACTGGGAAGAAGCAGCACTGTAACTAAAGGGGGGAATAACAAATTTGGCTATTATTTTTAATCAGGGCATATTTCCGTGGTGCAGTGGTTAGCACGCACGACCCACGTATGGGGACCTTAGTGGCCAAGCCAGGATAGAATCTGGCATGTGGTCCTATGCAGCACGTCTCTCCCTCTTGTACCCCTTTTCCTGTCACACTACTATACGACAATGAGCCCCTAGTGCTGTGAAAACCTAAATAAAAACATTTTTCATTACATAAATTGATCTACAGATAATCCAATGACCAAATAAGATTAAATAATTTAGTTGCAGGATTTAATCCTAATGTTGTATTTTGCATAAGCTTATAAATCTGTATTTGATATAACATCAATTATATTTTAACTGAATAAAGAAAAAAAAAGAAAAACGATTTGAATTCCTCCTGTAATTAAAATTCAGGTTCATTAAATCTAACAGGTAAACAAAAATTGAGGTTACAACAGCACTACAGCAGCTAATATAAGAAAATTTGTTGTCTGAATAAAGTACACCAAAGCCAACACTGTTCCAACAATCTTCTTACATAGTAAATCCACTGAGATAACGTCAACATGATAAACGATTCTTCTTTGGCCATTTAAAACAGAAACGGACTGAGTTAAAGAAAAGGACAATGGAGCATTAAACTGTCTGAGAGTTACTACAGTCTCTGTGGAGGGAGGAAAAGGGATGATTGTGCATTTTTTTCCCTTGATTACTTCTCTTTGATGGGTTGTTAAATGCAATCAAGAGGCCATATTTTCCTTTGCCTTTCCAGGCTATTAATTAGAAAAGAAATGATAAAAAAAATGAAATGTACGCTATCTAAGAAGGAGCTGAAACCAAAGGTATAACTCATTAATAAATTAAATACTTTAAATGTGTAGTGATCAGTTCTATTCTAGAACTAAAATGAAAAACAAGAAAAAGAGAACAGAAACTAATGGTTTGTAATTAAAATCTGTATAATAATAAGGTAGAAACCCTGTAGAAGCAGTTAGGCTTATACTGGAAGCTCTCCCTTCTTGTCACATGAGATCGTAACGCAGACACTGTGAATGTACCTCTAACTCTACCTGTCACAGACACATAGTAGAATAGACCCCTACAGTCATCTGTTAACAGTTTAAACTGGAGAGCTAGAGCAGAAGTACATGCCGTGGGATATTTTGATAAAGAGGCTTTGTTTGTTTTTTTCACAGCTGATGCAAAAATACTACTTTTCAGAAATGCAAAAAACATCTCCCTGCTGACAGCAAAATGCCAAAGCCCTGTTTTGTTGCTGAAGATTTGTTGCTGTTTTTTTCAGTTGCAAAATTGTCATGTGTGTTCCTCCTGTCTTCTATCGCAGCCACCAGGAGCTGCCTCAGCTTTGCTTTTATCTTCTGCCTTTTTTATGTACTGACAGCGTTTCATAAAACGCATTCTCACTGTCAGCTTTGTGCTTCAGATCAGTGCAGGGTTTCTGAACTCAGGAAAAGCCAACCTTGAGGTTTGCATATATTGCACATCATCACTCAATGTACAGAAACTTTTTTAATCAAAATTCATAGCTTGAATCTAATTATTAAATATGTAAACATTGATTGTGAGTATTTGAAAAAGTGTCCATGCCTAATGAGTTTTTATTTATTCTTTTTCACAATTCAACAAGGACTTCACCATACATGAGCCAAGAGGCACACGATGAGTCTGGAGGAGCCATGAAGCTTTAAATGCTCTGGTGAGAGAATCTCTTCAGGAAGCTTTGCGGCTAGTCAAAAAGCATGTTGTGGAAATGACAAGCAAGGAAAAGGAGCTTTGTTTAGATGAGATGAAAATTAGACACAAAAACTACCTCTCCACATCACCTTGAAAACACAAATCCCACAATACAGATATTTTTCTTTAGCAGGAAAGAGAAGCTGATCGGAGTTTATTAGAGGATAGATAAAGCTGAAATCTTAGGAGCTTGGGGGGGTTCCTGTCAGAGGCAAAATAAATAGATGTTACCTTCCAGCAGGACAAAAAGCCTCAACATACTGTTACAATGAAATGGTGTGGATTTAATAGCATTTGTGTGCTTGAATGGTTCTCCAGACCTAAATCAGATTGAGAATGTTGGACAAGATTTACTGTAAAAACTGAGGTAAACAGATCATTTCCATGAAATCTATCTAAAATTGAGTTTGCAATCGTACAGCTGAAGGCAGAGACTTAGCATCCCTGCTGAAAATTAACCAAACCTCCAGCTCATTTCATTCACTGATTCAGCACAAGCTGCATTTCATCTAAATACTTAAATGCCACATTCTATGTGATCTCATATTGTTTATATATTTTCAAATACGTTGGTATTATGAGTACATTTTAGCCGGTGTCTCAGAAGGAAATCATTATGGTGATATACTAACAATAAAGACTCTTTATTCTAGATGCTTGATTCCAGAAAAATAAATAGAAAGTGTAGGGTGTTTTGCAAATTTATTTGAGACATGCACTTAATTTTTACTTATAGTTTTTACTTTCACACTGCAGAAATGACCTAAAAATGAGTAAAAATGTTTTAAATTAAGTGTATTTACTCTTAATTTGAGCAGGAAAATAAGACGATTTGCCAATGGAATGAGTATTTTTACTCTTAAAATAAGATAATTAGATATCATGCACTTGAAATAAGACAATGCAATTATTATATCATATTTTAAATTTAAATTGTCTTGTTGCATTGGTAAAGTGTCTTTGCCTCCTTAATTCAAGAAAAAATGCACATATTTTAAGAAAATATTTACTGAGATTTACATTTTTTGCAGTGCACTTTACTATAAGAAACAACTTTATGCTGACATTCCACATAAAATCCTACTATAGTACGTTTATGGATGTAGCTGCAACGTGATAAAATGTTGGAAGAATATTTTTTAAGGTAATAAAAATGAGATAATAGAAGTTGGGGGGACTTTATCAGGGAGCAAACTCAGCAGCTCCACACAGAGGGAAAAAAACCTGCATAGAGAGATAAATTCAGCTCCAAAGTAGACCTTCAGGGTATAGAATGGTGAGCCATTAAAATACATTTAATTATGAATATATAGACCCTTAGGGAATTTGGACATTTATAAGATTAAAAGGGAGTTAACGCATGGCACAGCAAATTAAGTCTCTACTTTCATCCCCAGAGATGGGATTGCGCAAAAAAGATCACCTTGGATCCTGGTCTCAGCCTACCTTGATGAGTTTGCACCTGATCTGCGCGGACACCATGTGGCTGTTACGCAGATTCCCCACTCGAAACATGAGGCACAACTTTCCGTCCCGCTGCGAAATCACCGCGTCCTGGCTGAACATGAGCGTCTCCGCGCGCTTCTTCGGCTGCGACATCTTGATGAACATGCAGCCGATGAGGAAGGCGTCCACGATGGAGCCCAGCAGGGACTGGAAGAGGAAGAGGATGATGCCTTCTGGGCACTTTTCTGTGATGTAGCGCGAGCCGTAGCCGATGGTAGCCTCGGTCTCGATGAAGAAGAGGAACGCGGAGGGAAAGTTGTACACATTGGCGACGCACGGGGTGTAGGACGGGTCGTGGCCACCGTTGCTTAAGTCTCCACGGATGTACGCGATCACCCACCACATTGAAGCCATGACCAGCCACGCCACGGTGTAGGTGAGGATGAAGATGAGCAGGTTCCAACGCCACTTGAGATCCACCAGCGTGGTGAAGAGATCCGAGAGGTACCTGCTGGTCTCCCCGCCAAGGTTACCGTGCTGGACGTTGCAGCGGCCGTTCTTCTCCACGAAGCGCTGCCGCTTCCTCTTCACCGGTGCAGAAAAAGTCATGCTTCTGCTGGTGTTCACCACCTGATAGTCCCCTCCAAATTTCCTCCGTAGAGCCGACATCGTGCCACTCACCTAACTAAAAAACCAAAAAAGGTCTCTTGGCACAGGGTTGGGCTTTTTGCGCAACTTTTTTTGTCCTCCAGAAACATGCAGCCGCACTGTCCACCGCGCTACTCTTGCATCCTGAGAGATGGAGATGTTCCTCTCTTCTGTAAATTAATCGTAAGCGAGCAGAGATTCTGCGCAATGGACCCCTTTTTACGCAGAGAGGTTTCTTCCAAGTACCGACTTGGTGCTCCACCTCCTACAGGGGGAATGTTTAGGACTACAATTAAAAGCTGTGCGTTATATTCAAATACAGCTTTTCTTAATTGAACAAAAGAAAAAAAAAAAAAAAGAAAAATGTTTTGCGCGCACTACATGCACAGGGCTGTTTTATACTAGTGACACATTTTTATTCAATGTCACACAGTCCGAAACAAGGAGTGCGCTCAAACTTTAAGTAGACTTGCTTTTTTTTTTATTATTATTATATACCGTATATATCTGGCAATATGTGTGAAGTATTGCAAATCTGACGTTTTCCTCATATATATATTTACGGCTTTTTAGTGCCCCCTAGTGTTGAGGCAGTAGAAGTAAACTTGAGGCAAACCTGTGCCTATAATGAAATGTCTTTTATAAAGTTAGGAATAGAACTTTGTACAAAGTTTTTTTTTATATATATATATAATTATAGTTTACTCTTATGGTACTTGGGAATAAAATTTAGGCTTAAATATTGTAATGGATTTCTCTTTCATCATTGTTCTAAATGGTCTGAAATTGGAAATACAAAGGGTTTTGGCCCATTGAATTGATTATTCCAAAATCAATTATAAAAAAAAAACACAAGAAAACATGCAAAATATTTTAAAACAGTGGATCAAATTATTTATGAATTTATTGCTATTATGTTTTTGTTATATCTTTAACATATCACTTGAATAAATTAGGTGATGCAGGTTATTGAGGGTACATCTTAGTAAGCAATCCAATAAAAGAACACAGACAAAGCCGCATAATTTGACTTATCATATCTTAGGGTCTACATTTATGCTTTTAATTTCGAGCTAGAAGGAAAAAAACATTAGCATTCCTCACTCATAAACTTTAAAATCTATTATTGATTGATTGACTTTATATATCTCGCAGTGGAGAAATTTACTCATTACATCAGCTCAAATAGTCAAAAACAATAAGATGCCAAAGGGAACAAAAGTGCATGGGGGTATATACAATGTGTCCATATATATATATATATATATATATATATATATATATATATA